GAAAGATTAGGCAAGTCATCATTAAAAAAAGGACAGACACTTAAGTTCACGGTTGGATCTGGATGTTTAAAATTTTCTATACCGAAAAATATGAACCATATCCATAAATGACACTAATGCAAGCAAATATAAAAGACCTGGATTTCACACTGTATCCTTTGCTAGTTCCTCCCCTGCCCCTCCTTTTTTTAAACTAAGATCACTTATCTTACACAAGAAAACTGTGTTAACTATATTTAAAGTCATACTTGATGAAGTCTACAGTCTGCTCTGACTGTAATAAAAAAAAGAAAATAAAATTAAGGTCTATTATAGTTCTTGGTAGTTCAGTTTAACGTTAATGTTCTTTATAACGGCTAAAGACATCATCTAGTCCCACTAGCCAAGTTACATATCTTGCCTAAAGTGTCCTCTGAAGATGAATCTGGCATCTTCTGTGATGTCAGAGAAGTCAAGGGAGGGGTCAATCTACAGAACAGCTACATAATGTTATCCCTCAAGAGTTTTAGGAGTCATTGTTATGGAGTAACCACATAAGTTAAAAACCTCTACCTGTGCTTCCTATTTGTAAACAGAACATCAAATCCTACAGTATCAACCACATGCTACTGTCAAGCATGTCTTTGAGTTCCATCATTATAGCTCTCAGTATGGGGCTAAGCACTAAAACTAAATGCTTACATTTATACATTTTTGAAGGTTCCTAATGCTCTGAACTACCTTCCAATTATAGGAAGAGGAATTTAAGATGGTAACTTTATATTTGGATACAAGGCAAAAACCTATCACATTCTAAAAAGTGCAGGGCATTACGCTGTAAAACAAAAATATCAATTCGCCATTACGTCTCATTCTTCAGTGTTCTTTCTACGCTTGTGCCAAAGTAAAGGAGCAATGAATTGTCAGAAACAAGTTAATATTGTTAATGTTGAAACAGCAATCCCGGAATTATTTGAGCAACGCAAAGCTATAAAATACAAACATAGATATTGGTTGCAGAGTTCTCTGCACTATTCATCTATGTTGCTGCCAACATCTAAAGAAAAGAACAAACATGTTTTTGATGTTTGGAGGAGGGAGAGGAGGAATGTATACACTTGGCAAAATTTGACTCAAGTAGTTAGTTAAACATGTACATAAACATTACCAAGAATAGATTTTGGTCCATTATCCCGCTATTTTAAAAGTGAAGAAACAGAACCAAATTAAACAGTTCAACAATATGAAGCCTGGCACAATAAAAAACAAAACACTGACTAATGCAGAGACTTAAGCAGTGCTCGTCCATCTAACAGAATCAAACAGATGTACAGATCTTGCTTCAAATATTTTAAAAGCTTAGAATAAACTGGTTCTACATTAAATCTAATTGATTTCAATCAAATTAATCAAGAATCTGGGCTGCTACAGTGATCTTTCTCATCACATGTGGAGATAAAATACTAGAATTTTAAGTACAAGTGCATTAGGTTGTATCATTTTATAAAACAAATCTCTCAAATGTTCAGGAAGAAATCTAAATCAAACTGCACATCAAGGAGACAAAAATACCATAGAAGTAAAATTACCATCTTAATAATTCCTCCAAGGAGAAATACACAAATAGTAAAATAAAAAGAAACAACATGCTCCATTCTCACAGCTGAACTGCATCTGAACTCTCAACAAGAAAGAATTCCTGTCTATAAAGTTATTTCTTCATATTTATTAAACCTCCTTTTAAACTTAAAACTGGACCTGATTAAGTGCCATTATTATTTACATATGGATCAGGATGTTTACCTGGCAGCCTTTAATGTGCCAGTTAAGCGCTTTTCAATGGTAGCGACTACCAGTTACTTAAAATATGCATCATAGAACTGATATTAGTTTGTTGGGTTTTTTTAACCCTACTCACAATTTACTAGATTTTGATAAAAGGCTAGTTAGCTAGCTATGCTTTTTTCCCTTTCCTTTTTCTTCACAAATAACTATATCTTTAAACAAAAAGATTTTTAACCTCAGTTCAAATATGGTATAACACAAAATTCGGTTTTACACAAAGCTTTCGAGGATTCCAAATAACTTGCCTCCAAATATTTTGCCTAGTGTTTTAAACTATCAGAAGCAAAAGAAAGTTGCAGAAAATTTTATGACAAATGTTTTGCTCTCATTTAAGCCCAAATACATGTGAGTTTATTTCATCAACAAATTCTAAAACAATTCTGACCAAGATACCATGCTGGCCTCTCTGAAAAAAAAAAAAAAAAAAGAAAAAAGAAAAAAGATAGGCAAACAGATAGACAGACATTGCATTCTTTAAGTATTGACTCCTTAGGTTGTAAGGAAGGCTGCTGGTGAAAAAGTTAGATCACGGCAAACTGGAATAGCTTCTACAATATTTAGATTTATCATCTACAAAAATGTAGATAAATTACCTACCTCATGAGTGTACCAAGATTCAGATATTTTTACATATGTAAGACAGTGACTTATTGTTTAGATGCAGCTAGCAAATGTACATATCATTTTTGTCATCCCCCCCATACCCAGTTACTCCCCCAGTCCCAAACCACTTAGTATATTTTTCCCATACATTATCAACTCTTTGAAATCAGAATTTGTATTTTCTAAATTATTACGTAGTACTTCTCACAACAAAACCTGCAACTTGATGACATTTAAGTGCAAGCACAATATAGATATAGATTCACAACATAGATGTGAATAATAATAAGAAGAATGTCTATTCTAAGACATAATAAGAAGAAAGAAAATGTCTATTTCCATAGCAATTTTCAGATTTGCTGCAGATAAAACTTTGATGAACCTGTTTACTTCATAGCTGTGGTAAAGTTAGTACTGACTGCTTTCAGCACTGCATCTTCAGAGAGACTGAGTGCATATAATAACAGAATTACAGTCTCATTTAAACCCCTAACCAAAACTACTCTGCATTACAGTTGTGTTAAAAGAAAAAAAAAAATCCATCTCAAAGAGGAAGTAAAGCTCAAGCACTCACAGAAAATAGCTGCTGCATTTGTGCACTGAAACTTGTTCTTCTGACTACTGACTTAATTCCTAGCAGAAACATCAAACTTTTTCTTAATATTTGTATAAGCGTGACAATCAGCCTCCCTAGTACTGTAGCATGCTTTACTTGAGCAGCTAAATACAGATTAAGGCACCTAACTTCTGTCTATTTGAGTTTGAAAATAATAGCCATTGATATAATCTACTTTGTGTATGGATTTATACAATTTTGTATTGAAAAAGTAAAATTTAGAAAATCCAAGACTAGAAAGTCTTGGATTTATTTGAGATTTACCATAATAACATAAAATCACAAATTATTTTCACCAAGTTTCCAGTATTTGACAAAACAAATGATTTCAAGGTGGAGAAATGAATTCTTTCCCCGATACAGCCAGCTGAGGTACTCTGGCTTGTACTTAACAGGTCAGTCTAAAAGATCACAGTGGTTGTGTCTAGCCCTTAAAAAGAACCAGTTCACGTAAATAGAAGTTCACATGAAAAACACTTTGACAAAAAGCAGATAAAGTTTTTCTAGTTCCGAGAAGGCTGCTGCAACACAAAGTGTTTTTGTTCTGTGGAAACAAGATATAAAAAACGTAAGAAAAAAAGTTGAGACAGAAATGATATCCTCTATTAGAATGACAAAATAATAAGCAGGTACTATTGAAAACAAAGCAAGTAATTTTTTTTAAATGAGATGATCATGTTGTGTTATATAGTCTTACCGTTCTCTATTAAATTTCAGAGAATGAAGGATAGCTGGTCGTTTCTGTCTGAGATTCCACAAATGAAGTGTGTCATCTGCACTTGCACTGACCAAAGCACCCTAGAGTAGACACAAAATATGGCACAGCAGATTATTTTTCTGCAGATTCTGTCTTATTTTTAAGTGATCCTCAATTACAGTGATGCAGCTGTAGAAAACTGTACAGTTTCTGATAAATACTTGCTTTATTGTAGAAAAATATTTTCTACCATAAATAACACTCAGTTTGAGCCAATCTGGTAAATGCAAACATTTTAAAACAGTACAAGATCAGCCAAGGTTAAAATAAAACTCCATCAATTTAAAATACAAATTAAAGCTTTGTACGAAGCTTATACATCTGAACTCTCATATATTTCTAAAATGACGAGAGCAAGCATAGAGATTAATGAAAAGGGGGAGAGACAGCAGTTACTTAAAAAGGTGATCCTGAAGGATATAACTGAAAGAAAAAGTGATTAGTGTGCAAACACACACACACAAACGACAGTGCCAAGCACAACTTAGAGGTCACATCAAGACAACAAGAAATTCAAAACTGGAACTGGGTAAAGCAGGTAAGAAAGCAGGAACAGCTAGTACAGGGAGAGGAACGAGGAAGAAGAGATACAGACAAAAGGAAGGAGTCTGTCACAGATCAATAATGCTCTGAAGCCTATTTCTGCTTCTGGTCTCCCAGAAATGGGCTTCTTTCAAGGTCCAGACCTCCAACTGCCTGGACAGCTGGAAGTAACCATATTCTTCCTCCTTCCTAGCATCTTTCTCCTCACCATGGAACAGTGAAGCCAGGGGAAAAGGGAATGCAGAGGAAGCTACCTACTCCTGCTGCAGAAGTTTACTAAATTTACACCTCAAATCAGGTCTAGTAAGAAGGATCAATCCCTACATATCTGTAAGGACACAGAGGAAATAGATACTGACTAAACAGCAGGCGGTGCTCAATCCTGGGGCCTGGGGAGGATATAACTGAAAGATCAGGTCATACCAACCACGACTGTTTGACGGAGATAAAGCTCTCTCTGCATCTTGGATTTCCTTTCTAATCCTAACATCTGTTCTTTTCGATATCAACATATGCAAATGCAATTTATGAAAGCGAGACTTCTCTAATATGGAGTAATTCATACTTTCTCATTTCCCTAGGAGTTTAAACCAATGTCAGAGAGGGGATTATCTCCACCATGGAAATCAAATTAATCCCTTGTATTAGGGCTTCTTCTGGTCACCTCATGAGAAGAAAGAATACTGAATCAAATCTTGGTTTCCCTATTTTTCTTCTACCTTCCTCTGAAGGATTTGACTGGACTGATTACTTTTAAAGAATCAGACATTTTTTTCCCCCCAACGAGCTTATAAAAATCAATTTTTTGCCAGGCTTAACAAAATTAACTCAGACTCTTTCTTGAGAAACTACAACATCTCCATGCTCAGAAAATAGGACTTGAACATGTCAAAAGTGTTTTCTTATTTCACAGAAGAAAGTTAATTAAACTAAGATGACTAGTTTATGAATTTGGCCAACTTATGGGCTTCTGAAAAAAAAGAATTATATGCTCAGCAGAGTCCTTTTGACTATTATTATCTCCACAGACCTTCTGCAGAAGGTAAGCTACAGTCTCTCATCGTTCCTGTATATTGCCCAAAAATTGGTGTTCACAAAGCATTTACAAAGACTAAGCATACAGGTTTGATGGATAATCCCTGCAATTGCTTTTTCTTGCTACAAGTAGTAGCATACCCTCAACCTGTGAGTTTTCAGTCAGTCACCATCATCATCCTTCCATAGAAAGACCTAGCTCCTTTATTTCTATCTGAAACAGGATAGTGCAACAGATTCAGTAACTTAAGGGATTTTACATCTACCTGTACAAACTGATGTATTGAATATCTTTCGTTCAGTATTTTATACTGATGTATACGAAGGCAACGCTTTTCTCTGCATGAAGTCTTTTACATCGTCTTCTAAAAGTCCATACAGTAAACATCTTTTGGATGTAAGCCTCTTACTTGTTGGCCCAATTTGTCATATGGAAAGTTATATCACTCAATTACAATACACTAATTGCCTTATTAAACTAAATTTATATAGAAAAATCTAAATAAGTATATCCTTACCTCATTGATTAAGAACTGAAGCTGTAGGACTGCAGCACCGCTCTCATGTTGGCAGTAGCAATCAACACCAGGCCTGCCCAGTCTATTGCAGTCAGAGTCAAGGGTTCCAACATTCTGTTATCGCTGGGGGGGGAGGGGGGAGAGGGACCTATCAATTAACATCTAATTAACCTTTAATTAACCTCAATTGTTCTTGCTTACTGCAAATCAAAAGAATTCACATCGCCTTTCCACTGTTCTAATAAAGTATGAATACCATCAGCCTGAAACACATGCAATTATGAGCGATTTGTTCTTGGCTGCTTTTTTTGCAATAAAGAGCATGAATTAAAATAAAGATTCAGCA